AAATTCTGGTAGGGTCAAGAATTTTCTCTTCTCCGCGTCTTCCAGGCCGGTTCTGGGGTCCTCATCCTCCTATCTATCCAATGTGTACCCAGGGATCCTTTGCAGGGGGTAAAGCTGACCACTCATCTCCAACTAGTGCCGAGGTCAAGGAAATATGGATCTATACATCCACTCCACCATACGCCTTCATGGCGTAGTGCTTAATTAATTAAGTACAGGAACAACTTTACCTTTTACCGCAGGGGTTAAAGCTCTTGGACAGTGTAGCTGCCACTTCGTTTCTGTCTAGTGCTGATATTAAGAACATATAACCTCCACCTCTCCTATCTAATCTCCATCCCTCATATATTCCTTCATTCAGTGCTTGACATTGAACAATACCAGTATGCACTGGACGAGTGGAGTACTATCTTCTGGGGTGTTCAATGCCGCATAGTCATGTAGAAGTTTACCGACTTTTCAGAGAAACCTTCTGTGTTCATATTCGAAGCCTGGAGCTAAAGTAAGAAAGTAGAGAAGAGAGCATGCTTGGCTTACTCTTTGCCACTGAGAATGGAGAGAGTATGCTCGTCAGAAACGTCAGTAAAGGCAGCTTCACATTCCAGCCTATAATCCTCTGCATAGTCACAGATATGGGAACCTGAAATCTGACATGAATTGGGCGCGTCTGAGAACAGAGCGCTGAAGGAAATATCCGGACACGAGGCACCGGAAACAGCTGACTGAAGGAGGAAACTGCTTGATCCGGAGTAACAGTCACCGAGTCAAATGAATGTAGGTGAGATGGGCAGGCTATGAAGAAAAAGAAAAAAATCTACACAGTTGTGACTAAACTATCTGCAGGAAGAGACATCTTGAGAATTATAGATGTCGAGAGAAGCATAATATTAAAACGGATTTTAAACACTGGATGTTGAATGTGTGGAATAGATTTATTTAATTTATGATACGGTCTAGTGACGGGCTCTTTTGAACATGGTAACAAACTTGCCTGTTCCAAAATTCAGGGATTCTCTTGGACAGTTGAGCCACTTCTCAAGAATAACTCAGCTCAGTGGAATCATTTAAAGAGGTTATGATTTCCCACAGTTGCATTAGGCTTAAACTGGCTGCTACTAAACTGGCAGCCTTGGATAGCCGGTCTGCAAGACCTACTCAAAACCTGATTTGGCCTAATGATGTCTGGTGAAGAAAAGATGCGTACTTACTTACTTACTCATGGAGCTGAGCCTTTCTTGAGGAGCCGCCAATTCTGCAGCTACTCAAGAATTTCCCAACATTTTACGGAATCCGAAGGTTCATTACCGTGTTCACAAGAGCCCTTCACCGGTCCCTATCCCGAGCCAGATCAATCCAATACTTGTCATCCATGCTGTCTCTCTAAGTCTTAGAGTCTAAGATATACATTTTAATATTGTTCACCCACTTACGCCTTGGTCTTCCCAGTGGTCACCTTCCTTCTGGCTTTCCCACTAATATCCTATATGCATTCATCTTCTCCCCCATTCGTGCTACATGCCCTGTCCACCTCATCCTCCTTGACTTGATAATTCTAATTATACTTTTAGAAGAGTACAAGTTATGAAGCTCCTCCTTATGCAGTTCTCTCCAACCTCCTGTCACTTCATATCTCTTCGGTCCAAATATTCTCCTCAGCACCCTGTTCTCAAACACCCTCAGTTTATGTTCCTCCCTTGATGTCAGAGACCAAGTTTCACACCCATAAAGAACCACAAGCAAAATTATAATTTTTATATTTTAAATATTATGGNATTATAGTTTTGTATATTCTAATTTTTATGTTTTCGCGCAGCAGACCAGAAAACAAAAGCTTCTGGACTGAATGGTAATGAGCATTACCGAAGTTCAATCTCCTCTTAATTTCCTCCTGAATCAGGTTTTGATTTGTTATCGTCGTTCCCAAATATCTGAACTCTGCCACATTTTCAAAACATCTGTTTCTTATCTTTATGTCATGATTTTGCCCTGCATTTTGGTGGCAAGACAGCAAGATGTACTTAGTTTTCTCTGTGTTTACTACTAGACCAACCTCTTTACTTGCGCCTATTAAAGTTTGTGTGTTTGAAGAAAAAAATGCGAATGGAGATTAATTCGTTATAAAGCATGGTCTCACGTAGGAACTCACTTGCTGCATTTATTAATGACCTAGAACTTCTCCTCGCAAATAATCTGAACTGATTCACTCGCCTCAAACATAAAGGTATCCACTTCCTCTTGGATATCCGCATCTGAAAGACGTCCCTCCCTCTCTGACATTTCAATGAGCAGGTCCAGAAAGGCCAGTCGTCGCCTCCTGCCTGCAAATAAATTGTTACCTGTTATCCGTTATCACTAAACCTCACACTAATGATTACACTTCCAACTCTCCCTTGTTCTTTTGATTATTACTTCAGAATTTCTCGTGTGTAGGCGGGTTAGAATACCTGAGGATCGTAGTAGACACAAAAAAAGGGAACCCGGTGTCCGGGCGTATAACTCGGCAACCCTGTCACAGGGGGCCATAAATACAGGGACCTGGTCCTCCAGGTTGGGGATTGGATACAAGACTGACGCTTTTATTGTTTAAAAAATTAGTGTTGGGATATACAAAGGCGTAAAACTCGGATGAAATCTGGCAGAATATTCTAAGGAAAACTATGGCTCGAAAAGGGCTATTTTGCCAGTGATGATGCTGATGATGATGGTATTTAATTCAGAACTGTAAAATTCTTATCACACAATTCAATGTCTGTGTGGCTTATTTACGTGTTCCCCCATTTACCACTGATTTTAACCTATCGTTCAGCGAATGTACCATGTATTCCCCTAAATGGTAATTTTTGACGCAATCGATGTTTTGCTACGGCAACGCCAAACAAGAAATGACCTCAAATAATTCAGAAGAGAAGATGTACACATCTGACAGTTTCATACATAATAAAGTTTACACCATTCTTTATTAGAATCCGTCACAACATAACACAATGAAATAGTCAATATCAACGGTACTGAGCTACATGTTTCAGCTTCCGAGTACAAATTATGCATTTGAAAAAAAAAACAAACAGGAAGGAACACGATACATCGCCTCGAACACACATGCGCTTTGAGGGGACTATATACGATGAATTAACAACCAAAGCAAAATTACGAAAGACAGTTCCCTTATCCAAAATGTTTAACGCCTGATGATAGCGACGTGCGTAAAAACATACAGTGTAAAATTGTAAAGTGAATAGCTTTAAATAAGTTTTACAGTCAGTATTGCGACTGGTTATGGACTGGACGACTGAGGGGTCGGAGTTAGAGTCCCGGAAGTGTCAAGAATTTTCTCTTCTCCATTCGTCCATACTGGCTCTGGGGCCCACCCAGACTCCTATCCAATGAGGATAAAGCGGCCGGGGAATGAAACTGACCACTCACCTCCAACTAGTGCTGACATCAAGAAAACGTGGATCTATACATCCACTCCCATATACGTCTTCATGAAGTAGTGCCTAATTAATTAAGCACATGGACAACTTTACTCAATTTTTTTTTCTTGGCACTACAGCCCCAGTGGGCCTAGGCCTACCTCCATGAACTTCTCCGTTCACTTGGGGTTTTCTAGATCTTACACATTCGGTAGGACTCCTTGGGCGGGTGATCAGCTCGTCGCAAGGCCTCTACCTGTACACAAACACAGAAAAACACACACACAAACTAAACATCCATGCCTTTAGTGGGATTCGAGCCCACGATCCTGGTTTCCAAGCAAGCGAAGGCAGTACGTGCCTTAGGCCGCTCGGCTACCGTGACCGGCACTTTACTTACTTACTCTTTCACATTTTTCACTGTCCAAAAAGGAAATAATTTTTCGGCAAGTTCGAGAATTTTCTGTCGACCGAAACATATTCACTGCTTTCTGCTGGTGTAGTCCCTAATTATCCTGACATCAATGTCTTCTACATGTTTATTTTGCCGGTCACGGTAGCCGAGCGGTCTAAGGCGTGCACTGTCTTCGCTCGCTTGGAAACCGGGATCGTGGGTTCGGATCCTATTCAGGGCATGGATGTTTGTGTGCGTTTTTCTGTGTTTGTGTACAGGTAGAGGCCTTGCGACGAGCTGATCACTCGCCCAAGGAGTCCTACCGAATGTGTAAGATCTAGTAAACCGAAGTGAACGTAGTTCATGGAGGTAGGCCTAGGCCCACTGGGGCTGTAGTGCCAAGGAAAAAAAATGTTTTTTTGGATAAGAATACTAGAGAAAGCCTTAAGATTTCGTGTAGAGATGTACCGTGAAAAAAAGACCTCTTTTTCCCCCAGTCCCTGAATATAGCTCTAATGTTTCTCTCTCGTCAACTGGAGTTGACAAACTAACCATAAACACCTGAGAAGCATTACGTGATCAATGGGCTTCCCAGATATTACATGCCTATAAATATTAAAATTACGTTAAACATATCGTCTCTAATTAAAATCTATTAAATATTTGAAATCCATACTCACGTGATTTGTTATTGTCATCGCTTTTGTGAGTGGTCTTGTATTCTTCTCTTCTTTCTTTGATCACCTGAAACAAATAAGTTTTCCTTACTTAATTGAATTAAGATGGGAAATTAGGAGCAGAGAACAGAATGAAACGAGACATCAATTGAAAGATTCAGATGTCGCTGAAGACAAAGAGAGAACCGATCATGTCAATAATATAATACAGAGTTGGCCGAGATGAAACTACAGTTTTATTACACTTCATACTGTTACACTGTCCGCCTCTGTGGTCCAGTGGTCAGAGTTCCTGGCTACAGATACAAAGGTTCCGGGTTCGATTCCCGGCGCCACCAGATTTTCTGAGAAGTAGTGGGTCTGGAACGGGATCCACTCAGCCTTATGAGGATAATTGTGGAGCTATTTCAAAGAAATAGCGGCTCCGGTCTAGAAAAACGAAATTAACTGCCGTAGGGATCCGTTGCGCTGACCACGTGACACCCTCTATCCGCTAAAGTTGGCACTAACTTCTCTGACAAGCGGCGGTCGCTCGGTCGGTATAGTTTGCTTCGGACTAAAGTCACGGAGATTGTTTATGTTTAATACTGTTACACTATAAGTTTATGCAGTTTATGCTACCAGTGTCTTCTGTTACTTCGTTTATTTTTTGTTTACTTACTTATTTCTTATTTAATAATGCTTAAATTAGCACAGATTATATGGTATGGTAGGTTAATTATTGCATGACAAATTGGAAGCCATAGCAGGAAGCAGGTAGATTCACCGCTCGATGGATTCCAGCTTCTTCTTCAGAACATGATGTCGAGTTTAACGGCCGTGGGGATTCGTTATGCTGACCTCGCGACACCATCTATCCGCTTAAGTTGGCACTAACTACGTTGACAAGCGGTTGTCGCTCGGTCGGTATAGTTCGCTTGCGGACTACAGGCCACGGAGTTTGTTTTTTTGTTTTGATGTCGAGCAGCTGCCAAGATTTTCATTACAGTTTTACTCCATCTATTTAGATGAGATAATAGGCGTTGCCTTGACGATGATGATGTCCATTCCTACAGTTTCTCCAGCCACATAATTCGTTTCCCATTTGCCAGTCCCAGTCGGGACAACAGAGGCTATTATCATGAGGGCTATATGTTAAGTTACCGCTTTCGCAGCCGAAGCTCTGGTTATAGAGAGCTGGTGGTCGTATAAGAGCTACATCTGTTGTGGGCGAAATGCCATTCCTACTCTTATTAGTGTACTTAGTTCCAAGTACCATTTAAAGTACTGCTTTTTTTTCTGCAACTTTTATGAGCATATAATCGCATGCAGCAGTAGCAATGGGTTCTAATCTGAAACAGTTTTCCTCTCAGCCGATAAAATATTCTGCGGTAAGCAACGAAACCGCTCTTACTGTACGTATTGTCACATATTTAAGGGTGTGTGACTATAGACGGGATATATGTTTTATATTGGATTTGTTGACCACTTGGAACTACAAGTAATTATAGCGCTATCGGTAAACTCCACACTTTGCAAAACACAGCAGCACCCGCTAACCGTTTCCCACTCTGCTGTCTTCATCGGCCATTCCCTAGCAACAGCTCCTAACAGCGGAAATTCTTCAGCTTCCCGCGTTCACGTCATTACTCTCCAGCGAATATCCCACAGATGTACTCTTTTCTTCACAGCCGTATTTTCAACTCGCAACTGAACTGCATCCTTATCAGCCTTCATTGCAAATCTCTTCTCAACTGCCGACCCTCAAGTGAATTCTCTCACTCACCAACCAACTACGTGACACTTCACTCAACTGAACTGCCATCAGCGTCCTGGGGTTCTCGCTATATAACCTCGAGAGAACTCAACAGAAAACACCGCCTCCAACAATTCTTCTATTGTCGTTATGGTCAGTAGCCTAACAATAGCTTCGAAAATATTGACGTGTTTACCGGCCGTTATGAAGCAACTCTTGTTCCTTCTCGCGATCGTTGCATAACAACGGTACTACACGTTACATTGTAGTATTATCTATCGGGTCACGTCATGATTTGAATAGACAGCCTTATAGAAGGAATGCTCTGTGCCCTCAACGAGGTCAATTTTGGTTCCCACAGTACGCTAAAAATAGAATTTAATACCTCTATAATTATGCTATAAAATCCACGTCACCATCTGCTGATGACGCAGTCTAATAGATGCTTCAGAAACAGTATACCTGATCAGTGAAGCCGTGTAGAATTTGCAGGAGGCGACCTTCTTCCCTGCCCAGTGGAGACGAATAGTAAATGTAATCCTTGTGCAGCCATGGGGTGAACTGTCGCTTGACTACTACCTTGGTCATCCTGTAAAGAAGCATTTGCAACAGTTCTCAGGAGAAGAAATCATCATTGCCGCGGACTCTGCCAGGAGCAGGTTATAAGCAATTTAGGGCTCTACAGGATTGTTTTTCAAACTGTGGGGCTTGATGGCCGGCTGCACATGAGGCGAGGTCTCGCAAATTGTAATTAATTTAGTTACACAAATATTTCCTTTCATTTTAAGAACAATATTTCCATTGCTGCTATATTATAATCATATTTCTGCGAAAATAACTATATTGCTCTTATACAGTTATCATGTATGAAGGGTTAGCGTGACGAATAATTGTGAATTCTAGGTTTGATGACTGGATTTATTTGATATTCACAAGTCGTAAATACAAGGAGTTATAACACTCTGAAGATTATTGTAACTATAGCACACAAAATGAATTCTGTGACGGAAGGACGGGTCTGCCGTCTACATTTGTTGCTGATTCTCGCCAGCACAGTCACTCCGGGCCCGAGTCCCGCGGTACTCGTCACCATATTTTATTGTCTCAGATTCGAGACTCCCCCAACCTGGAGGGCTAGGTCCCCATATTTATATCTCCCCCAAACAGGGTTGCCCAGTGATACGCCCAGGCACTGGGTTCCCTTTTGGTCGCACCAATGCGCTGCATTTTATAACTGCTAGGCGGCCCGCGTAGAAAACACGGCCTAGAAGGGTTACATTACTGTGTTTCTTGACTACGTTACCTCCGAAATGCCTTTGTGTTTAGCAACTTCTTACCTGGTAACGGCCCTTTCATTACTATTATTTTAGGGGTAACGTGATTTCTGGGTCCTCACTCAGCAACGGATATGTGGCTCTGGCTCCACTTTTTCAGATTTAAGACGTCACGTCACATTATGTTAATAAAGAACTGTTATAATCGTCATATTATTTTTAGAACACCCATCGATGATTGGTATGACACTAGAATGTATATAATTCTAAAAAATACTTCTCTTTACACAATCGAATTTCTTTTCACTATGGTAGTCCTTTCTTCTTTTGACAAAATGATGGACGAAATGCAAGATGCAAAAGGTTGATAATCACTGCGCACGATTTTAGGCTCTCACAGCTGTGGTTATGAAGAATACTGTCTTCTGGGATATAACACGGTGTAGTCCGTTGAAAGTCAACCGAAGTTTCGGAGGAATATATCGACTCTATCTTCAGGGTCGAAGAATAAACCGAGCGAGAAACTAGGGTGAAAGAAGGTGGCGAGCAGTAATTGGTTTTCAGCAGCATACATGGAGTTGTATTCGTTGTACTCAATGATAATCATTAGACTGCAGCTGACTGCCCAGGTCAAAAAACACTCAAGCAAACCTTCAGTCCACTAATGGCCCGTTTCCTGTCGGTGTAGTTATGTAATAGCACGCATGGACCTTACATTGATGACAGATTGGCGCAACCTACCGATGTCTCTGTAAAGAGTACACATTTCGTAGCAGCGTGGTGTATGATATGTTATTTGCTGAGCTTGTTATTATTATTATTATGGAAGAGGCAATTCCTCGTTGCCCTATTCACAAATCTAAATTCCCTTTCTTGTACTCTAGTTCCTTAAGGTACTACATTGGTAAGAAAAATTACTTTCACCGTCGCTTTAAAAAGAAACAAACTGATTACTATTATGACAAATTCATTTGCTATCGTAAGCTTGTTAAAAGCACTATCAAAACCGACAGGCTACGATGGCTGAAGTCAATAGACAACGACCTGAAATCACAACCTCAGCATCTCTGGAAATACGTGTCTTCTTTCAGGAAACATACTTTAGGTTGCATTCAGCTTCAAGTTGATGGTGTACACTTAGATGAACCTACTGCAGTGGCTGATACCTTTGCCAAACATTTTCAGTCCCTCTATAATACCCATTGT